GGGCAAGGCAGCCGCTTCCCGTCCCCTTGCCAGCCTGCGCTCCCTCTTGGGCATGGCCCCTGGGAGAGACCCCTGCCCCACCCGGCCTACCTCGTCCCCCACGAACTCCATGCTCAGGGCCCCCGCCCGGTAGTAGGAGAAGAGGGCGGAGTCGAAGAAGTACTCCGAGAGGCCCAGGTACACCATGCGCTCCGTCTCCCTCAGCAGGGGCTCCGGGGCCACGTTGGGCAGCGTCTCGTTCTCGCTTCGCAGAGGGAAGAACATGCCCTGGGAGCAGGAGGAGGAGCCCCGTCACAGGGGGAGGGGGGCCTGGGGCCACGGACCCCCTCCCCGCATTGCCGCCTTCCAGGATACAGAGCCAGGCCACAAACACTGCAGATGCAAGTGGTTGGGGGTCCCAGGGGGTGGATGGTTGCTGCACAGGTAGTTCTCAACTTACGACAGTTCATTTAGTGACCGTTCAACATTACAAAGGCCCTGAGAAGAGGCCTAGGACTGCCTTTCCACCCTTCCGACCTGAGGAGCAGCCCCCATGATCAGCTGATCCGAATTCAAAGGCTTGGCAACTGGCAGGTACTTGAGCCGGTTGCCGTGTCCTGGGGTCACCTGATCCTCTCTTAGCGGCCTTCAAATCCAGGGGGGAAGCCAGATTCACTCAACAACCGGGTGACTCACTGCAGAGATTCACTTAGCAACTCTGGCAAGGGAAGTCGCAAAAGGGGTCAACATTCACTTGGCGACTGTCTCACTTAGCAGTAGAAACTTTGGGCTCCATTGTGGTCGTAAGTCGAGGACAGCCTGTATTTCCAGGCCCGGATGCCCCACAAAGTTCTATGCCTTGGGCAGAGGGTTGGGCTAGAAGACCTCTGTGGTCCCTTCCAGCCTTACGATTGTGTGGAACGAAGCTGCTGAACCCTGCAGGCCCTGGTGGCCCCAAAGGGGCTTTTCCCAACGGCGCCTCCTTCTTGGTTGGTTTTCTCTCTGAAGTCGCTTCCCTTCCCCTCCGAGAAGCTTCCTCGGTTCTCACTGAGGGGCCACAGAGGAAGCTTCTGGGGGGAGAAGGCAGACTTACTCCAAGGGAGACCAGGAAGTCTAGTCGCCTTCGGGGAAAGCGGCTCTGGGGTTCAGGAGACAGGGACAAGCCTCCTCACGCTCAACGGGGTTGAGGGTGGCGCTAACAATTCAAAACAAAAGAACCCCCAAAACCCCCCAGCTTTTGCTCAGGGAAGGGCCTCCAACCTGGGCCGCTTGAAGACTTGGGGACTTCAACTCCCAGAATTCCTCAGCCAGCTTTGAGTGGAAGTGCACAAGTCTTCAAGTGGCCCAGGTTGGAGAGCCCTGATCTGTGGGAAGGAAGGTGGGATTCAGCCGGTTCTGGAGAATCACCGGGAGTGGACATTCTGAGTCGTTGGGAGAACCGGCCAATCCCCCCTCTGACTGGCCCCGCCAACCCCACCTCTCCTCTGCCTCCCATCGAGTCCCAGCTGATCGTCTGGGTCTCCTTTGGTTGCCCTGCCCAGGAGAACAGAGCTGGAAAGCAGGTCAGTGCGGTGGGGAGGGAAGGGGGATTTTGCAGTATATCCTTCCCCTGCCACACTGCCCACCAAGCCACACCCGCCATCCATGCCCACCAAGCCACGGCCACAGAACTGGTAGTAAGCATTTTTGAATCTCACCATTGACTTAGGCAGCCCAGAGAGGGGCTATGTTTTGTCCACGGGCCCTGCCACGTGGCTGCCACGGAGGAGGATTTCATCCACCCGTCTCCGTTTCTCTCGGATGCCGCCTCCCCTAAAGGCAGGGGTCCCCCAACTGTCCAGCTTTATGGACAAGCGGTTGGGGGCCGGGGAGAGGAAATGGTTTTGGGCGAGGGGGAGATGTGCAGACTCACTGCCACGCACAACTCCATTTACACAAGTGGAGAGCACTCAGGCGCACACGGCGGAGCGTCACACGCGCACACGACTGCCCGCCACTCAACCAAATGGAGCTGCCCATGCCGACCTGCCCACCACTGGCAGGGCCCAGTCCTGTGCGTGCCCTGCCCTTGCCATAAGGGAGCACCCTCCGTGTGGGGCACTCGGCGGGTACCTTGAAATCCAGGTCTATGCTCTGCGCAGTGACGTGGGGGTCACTGAGTAGGGAGTAGTCGCTGCCCACGTGTTCGTCCACAGGATTGCGCACTGGAGGCAGAGGAGCAAGGAGTGAGGAGGAGCCCCGTAGGCACCAGGCGTCCCCTGGGCACAGAGTTCTCCCTCCGCCTTCTTTGGCAGGGAAGGGGGATGCTGCCCACCACTCACCGGGCACCGTGTCCAGCAGGGAGTTCAGCAGCACCAGCGCAGCGTGGTTGAGAGCTGGGCAGATCTGAAAGGCAGAGAGACGTCAGAGCTGCTGGGAAGAGGGAAGGAACCGCCTCCCTCCCGGAGTGCTGGTGGCTCCATCGCTGGGGGTCTTCCAGGCAAGAGTGGGCAGCCGTTTGTCCAAGAAGGTATAAGGGGGGGTTGGACTAGAAGACCTTCAAGGCCCCTTCCAACTCCATGATTCTATGAAGTGCCGGAGACGGGCCGTCCCAGCGGGTTCTTTACCTAGCCTGGCCCAAACTCCTACGAGTGCCAGGTGCCCCAATAGTCTGTTCCCTCAGGTTCCCTCTGCAGTTGGAAGCCCAGTGGAACCACAGAGAGGACAGAGGAGCGTAAGGGGGGGAATTACAGGGGTTTATAAGCAAAATCGGGGTTTCCCTGCCTTGCACGGGGGAGACTGGCACACCTGCCAGCCCACCTGTGCGTTGTTCCCTTGGTCTTTGCCCAGCAGGGCTCACCTGTGGCTTGGTGCTCACCTGTTGACTGAGCAGGTAGCGTACTCCTCTGGTGATCAGTCTGGCCACGAATTCATAGACCTTTCTGGAGAGAGTCAGGAAAGGCTAAAGATCCCCCCTCGGCGGGGGGGGGGAGCTAGGAGTGTCCCCCCTCCCCACCTGCTTCTTCTGCCAATCAGGACTTTAAAGTTTGCTTCCTGGGCAGGAGAAGGCAGCCTCCTTTGCACCCACGGCTGGCTCCCCTTGGGCAGGCCTGGGTCCTGGCCTCCCACCCCCCCCCCCCCTGGGGTCCTTCCCAGGCAGGGGGGATCCCCTTGAGAAAACAGGCTCCCCCTCCCTTCGTGAAGCTCCTCCCAGGCCCCCAGGAGAGGGAGGGGCCAGGGCCTGCCCCTCCCAGCTGGGGCAGGGACGGTTACCGGAGGGTGCCGCTGAAGCCGGCTTGCATGTGGGCGATGGAGGCGCTGCAGCTCATGTTGGTGATCTTCAGGCGGCCCCCTTCGTCCCTGGAGAGCTCCAGCAGGGTGTGGATGTTGACCCCTTCGGCCCACGTCTGGATGGAGCCGACGTCATAGCTGGGCAGCAAGCGGTTGAATGAGCCGGGAGGGGTCTTCAGACACAAAGGGGCTTCCCTGTTCATCCCCAAGACCCCCCACCCTGTGCAGACTGTATGGAAGGTGCCGGTGGCCACATCAAGGCCGAGAGCCCTGGGTTCGAAACGCAGAACTGCTGGTGGAGGGGGGGACAGGGATAGGCTATAATTGGGAGCCCGATTTGCCACCCGGGTTTTGTTTTCAAAGCGGCTGGTTTTTATTGTTTTCATAGGGTCTGTATGAGGGTTTTTGTTTGGTTTTGGTTACCCAGGGATTCTTACAGGGAGTCCTCGATTTATGACCACAATCGAGTCCAAAATTTATGTTGCAAAGGGAACCATTTGCTAAGTGAGCTTTGCCTCATATTATGACCTTTCTTGCCACTGTTAAGTGAATTGCTGCACGGTCGTTAAGCAAATCTGGATTCCCCCATTGACTTTGCTGGTCAGACGATGGCCAAAGGGGATCCCGTGACTCCGGGACAGTGTGACGGTCGTAAATACGAGTCAGTGGCCAAGCGTCTGGATTTGGATCCCGTGACCCTGGGGTGCTGCGATGGTCATAATGTGGGAAAACGGTCACAAGTCACTTTTTTCAGGGATGTTGTCAACACTGGTCACTAAATGAGCCATTGCAGGGGTGGGATTCAGCCAGTTCGCAACGGTTCAGGAGAAGCGGCTGTTAACTTCCTGAGCCATTTGGTGACCCGGTTGTTGGTGTCAGAGGGCAGAGAATCCCACCACTGAACTGCTGCAAGTGGGGGGCTGGCTGTGCAAGAGGGGCAGCCATAGAAACGTTTCCCACAAACACACAAACCCCTGGATTCCAGCGAAGGAAAAGGAGCCACTCACAAGAACCAGTAGAGCAGCTGCCGCCGGAATCGCACCCCGATGGAGCCGTTGTTGATGCGGAAGGCCAGGAACTGCTCTGGCTGGAAGTGGAGCTCGGAGAAGTTCAGCTGCAGGTGAGTCACCTTCACGCTGCAGGGAGAGACGGTCAGGTGTGGGTGTGGGGGGGG